TCTTCTTGTAAGATGCTCCGGTAGGGACTGGGAAAACGTTCCTAATAAGACTGATTTTGACAGCAATATGATACAAAAATGACATAGCCCTAGCACTTGTGTTCTCCGGAATACCTACAATCCTGCTACCCGGCGGAAGCATTGCTCATTCTGTTTTGAAATTGTCGTTGAACGTGTTATTCATTGATAATCCCACGTACAACATTTCCAAGGCACCCGGCACGGGAAAAGTACTATAGAAATGCAAACTTAGTGTTTGGGTTAAATGCACCATGGTTCGAGGCCCATGATCGAATACTGCAAGATTTGCGCGGACAACAGCCGAAGAAGTAAATGTCTGTCTAAAATACTCTACATTGCAGAGCCATGCCCAGACGGTAAAATAAACTACAATCCAGTAGCAGAATGCCCGAACAGCTGAGATATTCTCACACATTAATTGCTGGCATTTGGGAATGGAACGGCACCGGTTAATCTGACTTCAGGATGCAGTTTCCTACTTTTATTTTCGCATGTTTAATGTCCTCAAAAGGAGACTTGGTTGGACAGGTATTTCTAAATATTCAGACCACTTATACCACTCGATTGGTTGAAAGGACGAGCTATTCTTGCGGCCAAGCACATAGATGTGTGTATTATTCAGCGTAGGATTCAAAGCGAAGCAGTCATTTACACGTCCGTTGATACTGCTGTGGACGCAGACGAGGCACTTATTCATCCAACAGAATTTTATGAATTCACTTGATCTGCCGGGGAAGCCGCCGCACGTACTGCAATTGAAAATCGGCGTGCTGACTACCATGTTGTGTAATATCAACCAGTCGAAACATTACAACGGCACGCTACTTGCAGCAAAAAATTAATGCTGCGGCAACGTCGTGGAAGCAACTGTCTTGGCAGCACCTTTCAAAGTTGAACATGTTCTGATTCATGGCATTCCACTCATTCCAACTGTTATGCTATTTCAATTTAGGTGACTGCAATTACCGATTCGATTGCAGCTTGCGGTCACGATCAACAAAGCTCAGGGTCAATCTCTAGAACTGTGCGGTTTGAATCTGCAAACGGGTTGCTTCTCACATGGCCAAGCATATGTTACGTGCTCCAGAGTCGGCAAACCAGAAAATCTGTATGTCTGCACAGACAAAATACATTGTATACCCACAAGCATTATGAAATTAAACATAATCGAAACACCTCCCCTTCCACTTTCCTTCTTCACCATGTCATCACATTGAGCCACGGCAACGCGTGGCGGGGTCCAGCTAGTTCTTAATAATAACGTCCTCACTTCTGCAGATATTCACAATTCGTTTCATGATGTCTCGAGTAGATACGTACAAATTGTGACTAACGGCGATCTATCCGTGTTTTGAGTAATAACACAGCTATTTGTTTTTATAACCGACTGGCACTTCAGACATTGTTAACTGACATTTTTGATCAAAATGTGGATTTCCAGGGAGGAAACAAGTCTGCGTATGTCTGAAAGTCGGACCCAATGTTGACATTTCCAGAGTGCACGTTCCAATTAACGCCAGACAATCCCCGATCTAACTCGCATGTTGGTCCAGCGCATCTAATGCGTGGCCGGTTTTTGGGACACTGCCATTTCTCAGTGTTGTACGATTACTCTGCTGTAGCTTATGGATTCCACTTCAATTATTCGCAGCAACATTCGGGCCAGTCAAAGCCCGAAGTTAAGCTCTTCAGCCATTTCATTCCTAACATACTCATTATGAGCAATTGCATAGCTCTGATATGACAGCTTACCAACGACACCCCTATGTTGTACGGTTTGCGCTCCATCTCACACATGATTTAGCCGTGGTAGACGGGCGTCCAATGATGGCGTTACGAAACTTACTAGTCTCGCTTTGTCTTGGGAATCTCTCTTTCTCAAGCTCCTATGTTTGCCAGTTTGCCCTCCTGCATGATAGAGTTGAGCCGCGTGTGGCGATCGTAATGAAAGATCTCTGTTGGAGAAGTAAAAACTTTTCCGTGTCTATCCTGACACCATCGTTATGAAAGATGCTCAGCAAGTCTGCTTACACGAACATTAGACGTAAGTGGGTACAGTGTGCATACTTTGCGACTTGGCATCCTGCTTTTTTCAGCTAATTTAGCTACCACCCATAATTTTGTTTTGATGCTTAAACAACTTCCAAAAGGGGCGTATACGGAACTCAGGTATTAACGCCTACGCGAAGTCGCGGGAATTTTTACCATGCGTCAGAATCGGACCACCAAGGATTGAAATTTGGAATTTGCGTTAAGTACTCGAGTTCTGAATTCCGTAGGCAGGTCTTGCAGCTGGTTGAATTAATTGCTTATCTCTCCTTCGTATAGCTAAATGTATATTTGTTTTAGTAGGCCTTAGATGGTTTGTTAACTAATACCTATGTTGTTAGTACGGTAAATGATTGCACACTTTTATGCATTTCAATTCAATTATTCGCAACAACATTCGGGCCAGTCAAATCTCTTCCCCAATCATTCCCACTAAGTTCACGCATTGATTTCTAAGATCATTCAGAAACTGATAAAATCAGGATTCTTCATCTGCTGAGTCGATAGAGGATAGTTCCCACTCGCCTGCATAAATACGGGCAGGGACAAGCGTACTTTGAAGTTTTACATCCTACTCATTAGTTTATACATGATTCCCATCGGAGGCAGTCTGCTTGGCAATAACGCAAAGTGCATGGCAAATTTCTGGAAGTTGCCTTAAAATCGACAGAAGTACGTTGCTCATACTGACCTTACTAGCACCAAGTTAGCGCGAATTTTCGCATTTGGAACTGGTAATCGCGTTTTTGTTTTTTTTTTGACTTCCAGTAGGAAAACAGGAGTCATTACCCATATCGTGCTATAAAATAATTGGTTTTATGACTGCACTGTTCCCTTGAGTGTTAGATCTGTTGAATTCCAATCTTAGTTTTAGCATTTAATAAAGTTATTGTAAGACAGGACACATATTTGCCAGAATTGCCATTTTTCAATATCCAACAGAATCTTGCTCTCTCTAGGGCCGTAATAGTGACCACAAACTCGACAGCTCGGCTAAGCCTGTCATTTCACCTGATCCGTGTCGGCTTCATCCATTCGCCTCTTCAGGAACTACTCCATGAACCAGTTTCTACGGTAATTCGAAGGTTCATGTAAGAAGGAAAACTGTCGGGGAATGGAATGTTCTCCACATCCTTCTGATCTACTGAGAAGGATGTAGACTGCAGCTGTGAGCATATAGTCCCACATGGGACGAAGCTATGGAGTGCTTCAGTGAAGCTCTCGTTAGCGTAGTTGGAGCAGAATACCGTGCCATTCACGGCCCGTCACGCTTATCTCCGAGGTAGTCTTCAACTTAATCGCGCTCATGATTTGTAAGAGAAAAGATGATCCCATGAATAGGCTACAGTCCATCTCGAAAATTTACAGCGCATTTTGGCAACTGATAATTATAGCCGTCATCCAAGTTTCAAACTAAAAACACCCACTTCTACTCCGCAACCAGTCTGGGTGCATCGCCTAGCAATAAGATCGCCTGATCTTGTGCGGGAGGCGGAGGGAAGGGGTGTGTAGTTGGGTGGGGTTTCGTGCGTGCAGATTGGAGTCGAGCTCGAGTTGTGTGTGTGAGTGTGTGTGTCTGTGTGTGTGTCAGGGGGTTATCGATCCAGAGACAGGAGGATTTCGCACCATCAACTCGGTTTTCACAGTCGTCTAGCAGCGACTGGTGCTCCGAATCAAGCCTGCTCTTCGCCTAAGCTCCATGTAATATTAGGCTATTCGGAAGGTTATTTTGAACTGATAACTTCCTGCCACTCTATGTCACGTACAGTGTGCTGTAAAGCCTCTTGTCCATCAACATTATTCAAACGCTAATGAAAAACTATTCTTCTAGGCATAGGTTTATGATTTGATCCTGGGAAGGATTAACGTCAGTGGGGTGAGTGCGAGAGCAAGAATCCACGATTTGAGGCAGAGATTCAAGCCCTCGTTTCCAAATCAGCATGATTGGATAGAAGTTCACAAAGACTGGCGTGTTCCCATGTTAATCACAAATTCAACGCATTTGTTTCACGTTGAATGTAAACAAAAGACTTCTGACCGATCCTTACCGATATTTACAATGACTGATTAATCATGCCTTGCTTTTCGGAAGAAATCAAGTAGGTTCGGAGACGGAACTGTCTTAATTTTCAGAACTGGAACTTACTCTTATTAGTGATATTTTACTGTGAAGAAAATCATTCGATCACTCAAGCGAAAGTAGTGTTCACTTGCGGTTTCATGTTCATTTTCGAACAAAGACAGCAACAGATTGAAGTTGTGGACGCACAGAGGGTGAAATATGCATATGCTGCACACGCATATTCTTAATAATAACTTCCGCATTTCTGCAGATATTCACAAGTCGCTTCATGATGTCCCGAGTAGATACGTCCAAATTGTGACTCATGGAGATCTGCCCGTGTTTTGAGTAATAACGCAGCTATTTGTTTTTATGGCCGGCTGGCACTTCAGACATCGGTAAGTGACATTTTTGATCAAAATGTGGATTTCCAGGGAGGAACCAAGTCTGCGTATGTCTGAAAGTCGGACCCAATGTTGACATTTCCTGAGTGCACTTTACACTCTTTCGATGTTTTTTTTTCACAAAAATGGCAGGTCATGTTTATTAGCCCTGGGAATCCCTGGCATCTGGTGATGAGAAAAGCTCCAATATGTCTAATTCTTATCTACCATCATATCCGTTGGCGACAATTATTTGTCCCTAAAGCCATGCATTATTTCGGAAAGTAAGCATCTCCCTTGTAAAAAATAACTGTTCCACAGGTTTCATCCCTCGCAAGGATAAAGACATCATTAATCGGTCACTTTATGTGTTTGGCACCGCACACTCATTCGACGTTTTCAGAAGAGATGACACAACCAGTTACTTTGCAAGTCGTTTATTTCTTAACATGCGGGCCATAGAAGGGCCGCAAAAACGCAGAAGTTTACATGTTGATGCCAGCAGCTCCACCGATAAATGCGAGCGACTCCAGGGGTTTCTTGGACGACCAGGTCCAAGATGTCAAGTCGTTGCTGACATCAACTGATTCACCTGGAGCTGTGAGAGTCTCCACCGTGTTTCGTGATCTGAACAAAAAGCCTGCAAAAATTGCACAATGCTAGTAAAAATCTATTTCTGTATATAAATTAGTAGAGAAACTAGAAGAAAATTTACACAACACAGCCAGTAGAAATCTGTTCCAAAAAATCTCCGAGTAGACAAATTAAGCAATTAACCGATCATTTACTGGAGAGGCTTTAACTATTCTGTCGCACAATTCTAGCAAAGGAAGTCAGTACGCCATGCAAAGTCACATCTTCACATTGTTGCCATCATACGGATGTCTTAATCCTCTTCATAAAATGGAATACATGGAAAAGGTCATGGAATGACATGCAAGGTAGAGAAAGAGAGAGAGAGAGAGAGAGAGAGAGAGAGAGAGGGAGAGAGAGAGAGAGAGAGATTAGGACTGTGGAGAAGGAATGCAGTTACATTGTTGCGTCAGTGTAGAACAAAGGAGGAGCAGGAGGAGGCATCATTACCGAAAGCATATACGGCGTCGGTGGAGGGGACAAGCGTGAATGACCAGCGGGTTTCCTTCATGCCGGCCAGCACTGTCCATTGGCCCTGGGGACACCTGGCGTCCGGTGGTGAGAACATCTCCACCACGTCCAGATCCTTCTCACCATCATATCCCCCGGCGACAATGATTTTGCCCCGAAAGTACGTCGCTGCCAGCGCCGATCGCGCAGTTCTCATGGGTGCGGCTGGCTGCCAGAAGTCCTCCGTGCTGGCTGAGGCCGCGCTCTCCAACCAGTCTGCTTGCAAATGGCAGAACTCCATGGAAGGCAGCCAGCAGGAGTCATTCCGACCGCCAAAAACGAAGACTCGGTTGTCGCCCGGCAGGGAGGCTGCAGCTGTGGCGCTCCTCTTCTCTCGCATATCGGGCAGTTTGAACCACCTGTAGTGGGAACGGCAAGGAGACGAGTGAGAAGGCAAAACAGGAGACTTTTGTAAGATAAAAGGGCAACAAAGAGACGCTAAGACGAGTGTGATCTCACCTCTCCTGACTGACGTCGTAGACTTCACATGAGGAAAGGCGTCCATGGTTACTGCGTCCACCGAAAATACCGATAAGCGCCTTCCCTCCGGCTTCCCTTACGACAGCGGCTGCGTGGTACGAGCGTCCAACAGCGAGGGGCGGCCGTTTGCGCCAGCACTGTTCTCCCACCAGAAACTCCTCAACGCTCGGTGAGTTCTTCACTAGCTCAGTGTCTCCTCCAACCACGAAAATGCTCTCTTCCGTGGGGTGGGGTAGAAAAATGTCAATAAAGTGCCTGTATGAGGTGGATGACAGGAGACTTAGAAGGATAAAATACAATGTAAGGTCTACTAAAACAGAGTCGTGCAGTTGACAGGGAAGAAGTGCAACTGCTGCAAAAAGAGGGGTAATATCATCGTCAGACAAAAAGATGTGGATGGACTAGTCCCCCCAGTTGAGTAGCCGCCAGTGACGGACACAAACCACGCAGGTGGAGACACGGTTGGGTAAATTGAAGACGGAAAAAACAGACGCGTCGGGACAGGCCAGGCTAAGTTACGTCAGTTTTCCTCTTTGCTAATTTTGATGGAATTCCCGGGGGGCAAATGGACAACGCCAAGACCTCAAAACCCCCTATTATTACTGCGCGTGTGTGTGTGTTAAAATTCTGCCAAAAGAGGCACCAAATGGTCAAATTCGACAAATTGGAAAACTAGGCAGGTGCGCAGAAGAGGGGGTGCGTAACTGTTAGGCAACTTACCGCCCACGACACTGCAGGAGGCGTATTCACGCTTCTCCATGTCAGCAACCCTTTCTTCATTTTCCAGCCGCGAATTGAAACGCAGAACAGACCACCTGTCCTGACCTTTGCCCCTTCCAAATACGAAGATCGTCGGATGCGGTCTCCAACGTCGGTTGAAGGGACACGGAGTCGTGTCCCTGTCTGCGCAGCTCATCCACCGCTCCACCTGAGTCATAAAGCGACTTTCATTAGAAATAAATGACGAACGGGAACAGCATGTACTTACAGGCAGCTGTTGCTTTCCTGAAACATTGGATGACTATCCACTAGACGACTGCGGAATTGGAGAGTCGTCTGACTCCAACGAACCTCCTTTAACATCTCTGGAGCGTGCACACTCAGCCTCTCGTTATCGGCCTCTTTACCGCCAGAACACGCCCAACTTGAAATGGCCATAAAAACGTCCTCCTCAGAGTCGACTGGCAGACTATCGTTTCGCAGCAAAGTCAGCACGGTGTCAGCAGGCAGGCGAACAAAGACGTTACTAGATACTAAACTTTTAAACTGCGCATTCATCAGATTGAGGCAACTCTCCGTCAGGGATCCAATGCACATAGATTTGGCAAAGTCCCATGTTGTTGCCAGATTTTCTAAATTCACTCTTTACAGCCGACAGTTAGACAGAAAAAAGCCGACACATATTTACCTATTGGCCATGAATTGCACTGCCCGATTCTCCAGATCAGACAGTTTCACCATTTTGGCAAAGAGCACTACGCCCATCACATTCGTCTGCGTCATTTCCAACTGCCCCGTATAAACATACTGGATGACTGATTTTGCGAGGCTAGAAAATGCATAATAAGTGAGCAAAATCAGAGAAAGGAGGATGAGTTTACTTTAGAGACATGTTCGACCACTTTAGGACCGATTTAGCCTTCCCGAGGGCGCCACTGAGAACAGCTCGCATTGACGGAATACGGGCCGCAAGTATTATTCGATGGACATTGAAAATAGCGCCGTGCTTTACCTAACAAACATGCACAAATTTCCGTGTAAAGAACGGTAACCGTTACCTCTATGCTGAGGTCTTTGAAGTCTCCCGAAATGCGAATCTCGTTGAGGGCTGGACAGCTACGAACCAGGGGAACTGCGTCTTCGAATAATTCTACTTCTGCGAGGACCATTTCGAGTGATAATCGGAGCAGGATCGACGAAATGTCAGCTGTGCCATTGGCACTGCCTCTTATGGCGCCAGCGCACTTTACACCCGCACGCAGGCACTCATGACCTTCAGGTGCTGATTGGCCGATTACGGCTAAGAGCGGATTCAATTGGGCGATAATCGGCACAGCTATGTGGTGTACTGCTTAAGCCAGGACGCCAGAGTTATTTCTATTGTTCAGGGCTAAGCTGGCTAGAAACCGCCGATGGCGTACGTTCAGTGCCGAATGGACTGACGTGTAAATTGCTAATGAGATAACCGTCTGCGATAAGTGAATTATTGCCAGTGGGTTTTGGTTCGTTTTGTGCTGATAAAGAATGCTAGTGAAAACCGCATGGATGTCCGGCTCAACTGTGAAGACAGATCCGATCTATTAGCAGATTGACTTCCGCGACGTCAGTGGCGATAACAAACAATTTAGGATTATGGTGCATTCGGCAGCCGCCCTCAGTTAGGCATCAGAATTTTCATTATAAAATATTAAGATTCAATAATTCTTTGTTTGGAAATATGAAGATTTTAGAAGTGGAGAATTTCGAAAACGTCAAAAAATCCCTGTAAGACATCAAACTTCTGTTTTAGATATATAAGAAGCCTGTTGCAAATCTGCAGCTCTGATCTGTTACTCTCATTGCATTACAGTGGCACGCAGTATTCATAAACCAAGTGTCAACAACGAGCAGTCTCACGCCAGTCTAGGTGCATCGCTTTACAATAAAAACTTTTCATTTGCTGCGGAGGGAAGAGTGGCTAGGTGGGGTTTCGGATGTCCATGCAAACAAACCAGCAAATGAAATAGCTCAAGTAGAATAACTTTGAAGTCAGCCCTTTACTAACGTTCGCAAAGGATAAGTGTACGTGAACTATGGCATTTAGCCAACACCACTATACGTCTTTAACTGCAGACAAGTCAGTCTTCGCCCTCAGACCAATCCTGCCCTCAAAAAAACACAAATCATCAGAAGTTCCTGTAAATACGCCATATTGACAGGATAGTACGTATATTGCAGCTAACAGTAAGGAGATATCTTTAGGAACCAGGGTTTGTCTAGCACAAGCGAGATTGCAGGATTTCTTGGATGCAGAGATTTTAGTCGACAGTCTTCTAGTCAGAGGTATCCGTAAACAGAAAAAGTATGGAGCGCTGTTGCGAGAGCACAGAGCAGGCTGCATTTGTTTGCCCTAACTAAACATTTAACTAGTTTGGAGCTCGAAGGTCGGCTCGGTGACCTACCTATCCTGAAGTCTAGAACGTTAAGAGCGCGAATCCATGACTACAGTGGAAGACTTCCTTGTCAAAATAACTGACAATTCGGTGCTGACTGCACAACTGCCATAACAAAATGATTTAGCTTAGACTGGAAGCAGACTTGCACAGCATTTACCTCAACGCGTGGCACTACATTACCCCGGAAACTGGTTGCAAACCTGCAGTTCTGCATTACGTCATAACAAATAGCGCTCTCATTAGATTAGATTTGGGCACATCAATCACAAACGAAGTTTCAGCCACGAGCAGTCCCACGCAAACCTAGGTGCATCGCTTGGCGGTAAAAACTTCTCATCTGGTTCGGAGGGTTGGAGGGGGTGGCTGGGTGGAGTTTCGAGCGTAGAGATTGGAGTCGCGCTCGAGTTGCGTGTCTAGCATAGGGGTATCCACCCAGTGACAAAAAGATGACACACTCTCAGCACGGTCTTCACTGAAGGCTCGCAGCCGCAGGTGCTCCGAATTAAGCTAGCTCATCCCTCAAGCTTGATTTATACCATAGGTGGTGGTTTGGAGTTGAGGGATTTCTGCGGCTGTACGTCGCACACCGTCTATTTTAAAGTGTATCGGTTGGAAACGCGCAGGTTCAAAATTGCAACGAATTCTTCCACGCATGGGATCATGGTTTGTTCTTGGGCAGGATTAACATCGGTGAGGTATATATCATAGCAGGAGTTCGCGAA